CACTTTGGAGCAGTTTTAGACTTAGATCTTTATAAATACAAGTGAACTGGTTAATGTGCATTTTTAATTATTAAATGGCTTCTTCAGGTTTTTTATTGTAAACTTTTTAGAATATCTTTCACAATAACAAAGTAGGGGTTTTTTTTGTCTTAATGGGGTATAATCACTATGTACGTTATAAATGAGGAATGGGGGTTTAGTATTCAGGTTTTTATTAATTTAGGCACGAATTAACATGACTGCAAAAAGTACTTAATACTCTCTGTTGTCCTTATGTCTGCTAGACCTTGAACATACACTAAACATATTCAGAGTTTGATTTAGAACTGCAATGCCCATTAAAGACAGTTTATACTAATAAGTCTACTCTTACGCTTCTACAGTTTTTAAAAAGTTCCCTTAGCAATATGTAGGGTACCTGTAAACTTCTTGGGTCAGCAGGATTTGCATTATTCATTTATGAAGGTGATTCCAGCCATTCATTGCCTCTAGCAAGTGTCAGGTTTTTAATGAGCTAGAAATATTGTACGTTAACTTATGTCAAAATGCATATGTGCATGTATCAGTATGGGTGTATAGACACCCAGTGCAGCATAAACTGCCTTGTAAACTGCAGTTACTTTATTTCATTGTGCAGCATTTCTGTATTTAGTCAGTATTAGATCTCTTGAATACTGTTTATCCTGTTTCACCTTGTGCATTAGTAAGGTTGTGGTCCTAGATGCTATTCAATCAGCCTGAAAGCTAAGGTTTTAAGATAGCTTGTTCTGCTGTAATCCTTCTGTATTCATAGGCAGCAAAACTGTGCTAGAAACCCTTTTGAATTGAAGGGTTTGGCAGCTACTTCAGTGAGCAACTGAAAACCTGGAAATTACTTGAGATCTCTTTCTTGGTTGGCATGGTTTTTTTAATTTTAAGCAAAGATAATACAGAATGTTAAAATAGCAAACATGAGAACTGGCTATATAGGTGAAAGAGGATTATTGTTAATGCATCCAGAACCTTGTCTTGAGAGAAAACATGGAAATTTCCAATTACAGGTTTTAATGTGTTGCTCATTCTAGCAGCTCTTGCTTAGTTTTTCAGATCTATCAAGCTTACTTACTGTTTGATTGCCCTGTTACTGATAACAAATAGTGATAGAATTGACCCAAAATAGCTAAGAAAATTTTTTAGGTATTTTGTGTGATCTGCATGTATAGAGGTGGTTAGATCCAGCACTACTGACAGTAAATCACAAATTACTACCTTCATAAGATAAACAAACAAAAGTTAAATTGATCCCATGGAGCATGGCACCAAAATTTACAGTAATGTTGTTCAGTGGTAGGCAGAAGGGTGCAGGACATCCTTTATTTTAAGATGTTACTGATGAGGGATTGTATTTTCAAATTTTGCAGAAATAAATTGCCCTGAAGGCTAGACCAGACACACTTAGTGTGTCTGCAGGCTGGGATACAAAATTGGTGCTGTTGCACATTGTCTGTGATACCTGTTGATCACTTGTTCTGCTGAGTTCAGCATTTCTAGTTGTGCTTCTTTGTCTCCAGTTCTATGCTCAGCTTTCTGAATTTTATTTGGCTTGCAGTAGGTTATGCATAGTGGTGGATTAGCTATCACTGTGAATTCTCCTAGCATCCAAAATATGAAACAGTCACATTGTATGTGCTTGTGGGAGGGTAGCAGAATTTTTCTGAAGTTTAGCAGTTTCTGTGTTAAGTGCAAGGTGTATTAGCTAGATAGATCCTTCAGTGTCATGTTATTTTTGTGACTCGTATTCAGTGTAGAAATATTTTTATTAAACATCATTAGGCTTCATATGTAAGGGTGGTAACCTGTAATTTTTCTTCTGGTTTCCTGTCAGAGTTTAAACAAACTGCCCTTGTCTCCTGAGATCATTCTTTGACTGTTTGAGTCACATGGAAGTGTTGACTGCTGTTCCGTGTCTGGAACAGCTTGTGACTGTTTACTGGAAAAAAGCAGCAGCTACATTGCAAAAATGTGCAGTGTAATATCTCTGAATAGCTCTGTTGTTGATATTTGTATAGAAAAATCACCTACTCAGCTACAAATACAAGAAGGGTTCCTTGTGTAAGACCAACAAGTGCTACTTACGTTGTTTATCTGCTATCCTAAATTTGAATGAAGTTTGGAAGGTTTGCGCCTTTTTGAATTGTTCATTGTAGGTGTCCAAATGAGTGATAAAAGCTGGATTGATATGAAATTCCAAACTTGCATTTAAAAAAAAAGAAAACAACAGTTTCCAGAGACTTTTGAGAACTGTATCCATTACATTTGTATTGCAGAATTTCTCACTGTAAATGTTTAAACATTTAGGTTGAAATTGGTGTGCATGCAGTCTGTCTTGCCACACTGTAACACTCAGGTTCAAAACTGACAATTCTGTGTTAGGGCTGTAAACTTGAGTGCAAAGGAGAAGCTAGGCCAAGAAATCCAGAATGTATTTGAGTTGGATGAAATGAGAACATATGAAGTTGCTCTAAAATAGGATTAGTATTAACATCTAGTGTAGCCACACAATTATGAGAAGTGGAGGAGGGAAGTAAAAAAGATTGGCTTTGGCAGAGAGAATGATGTGGCAGGCATGTTTTAAACTGTAGTAGATTCAAACTGAAGAAGTTTGCATGAGAGCAGCAATGGATCTGTCATTTTTCTACTGTTTTGTAGCATCAAAGACACAAAATACTGAAATAGCTTGGTAATAGTAATGTATGTTTTTAGCAAGACTGTTTCCTGTGTGATACTAAAAATATTCCACTTGGTAACAAATAAGGGAATGTTGTGTTTTAAAAAAAAACACCAACAACCTATGGAGGTTGCACTTCATTTTGTGGTGTATTTGGCTCTCTATATCTTTGTATTAGAAATGTAGTGGTACAGTGGATCTTTTGAGAAAGGGAAGAATAAAAACTATTTAGGTTTAGGACTGACTTTTTGCAGAGGGGAGAACAACATTGAATAGTTGAAGATTAACACCATTGTGAGAAGGAATTGCTTTAATATGCATTTTGAGGTTTTGCTGTTATTTAAGTAAATAGCTTATTAGAAAAAAAAGCTGGGCATGAAGAAGTTTAAGGCTAGATTCTTCTAAAAGTATTGGAACGTTTTCATTACAATGTGTAACAGAAGCAGTGTTTGTCACACTCACGTAACCCCTTTTTTGGAAATTGTTTCAAATGGCTGTGGTCTTGCCTGAACTTGAAGCTGTCAGAAACAGGTTTGGTTTTTTCCAAATCCAAAACTTATGTAACCACAGTTTGGTGATGTTTGAGAAATTACTTTAGTGCTCCAGCACATTTGTCTGTAGAGCATTTTCACAACTCCTGCCACTTCTGACATAGATTATGCATGTATGTGGTAACTACAGGTGAGTGAAACTTGTCCCCTTAGATCTGCAAACAGAGTACTTGGCATAATTCTGCCAGCTTGAAGCTACCGAAACAAATTTCTGTAGCTGTTTATCACAACTGGACTGAAAGCAGGCGCTCTGCTGCATCTTTTAGGGACTTCCAGGCTGATGCCTAATCATGTTATGGGCAGGAGATCTGGTATTTAGCTAAACTGCTAAATGGCTTAGGATGAGAGGCATATGCAGAGACTAGGTTTCAAGACTAGCAAAAGGTGCATTTCTGCTCAAGCATTTGGAGTGCCCAAGGTAGTTCTTTCAATGTCTGGGTGCTTGGGTGCAGTGATAACCACCTGAGGAAAACACCTTCTCTAGATTGGGAGACAGATGGGAGATTTATTCACAGAATCACCAAGGCTAGAAGAAACCTTTAAGATCATCAAGTCCGGCCTCACCTAACACCACCACGTCAGTTAGACCATGGCCCTAAGTGCCACATCTAGCCTTTTCTTGAACACATCCAGGGATGGCTGTGTCCTTACTCATGGGGTATGCAGAGAAATGATCACTGCTATTACAGTCACCCAAAAAACTATTTTCTTGCAAAACACAAACAGGGCACTCTAAGGTGACATTTCAAGCAACTGGAACTAAGTATGCCCAACCTATTAGTAAACTAGTCTTTGGCAATATTTAGTCTTTAGTATTTAAAAAAACCCAAGCACAAACAAACAAGAAACTACAGGTAGTACAAAATTACACTTTTCTTGAACTCACTTATATTCGCACGCTATTTATGGTAGCAGCAGAAGGAAGTGATTGATCTGATGATACAAGCAGAAGTCTTCTACAGGACTAAAATAAATGATTAAATTAATTTCCTGAAGTAAGGATGAAATTACTATTTAGCTTTAGAGACCTCCACTGTGGAGCTAAAAAGTGACATTTTGTGTAGTGATTCACTTTTTAAATGGTCCTCAGTCTCATTTGCCTATATGCTTTTTTTATTTCATAGCTTATCCCAGATGAATTAGCATAATAATTTTCTTTCTTAATTTGGATCTTCTGTTTTGCAAAAGGAAATGGTTGGTTTCCTTCATTAGATGGTCACTGTCGAAACTTTGAAATGGTGAGGAGTGTTTAATGTGTTTGTATTCTATTTTTTCTTTTATGAAAGTACCTGAAAATCTGTTTATAAATGCAAAACTAGATGTGGACTGATTATCCAGAATTCATTAAGTTCATAAAACTTTCTGAAGTACTTAGCAATAGCCACCTAATTTCAGTTTTTAAAAGGAATACTAGCTGAAGTACCTGAATGTGTGCCTTTATTTAAAGGATAGAGTTGTCCAAACCAATGAATTTTAATAGTGAACAATAGCAATTTTTCTCTCTGGGTGTGAGGAAAGTAGTATGTTTTTTTTTTGCTTTTAACTGCTGCATAATACTGTCTGTTTTGGAAAGGTAGTTTCCTTCCCCCCCAAGTGGCATTAGATTCCAGGTTTGCCCAGAAGATGTGCATAATCTGAAACAGGTAAAGGGGTAGGGATATCTTGGAACTACAGACTGAAAATTGTTGTACCTGAAGCATTTATATAGGCTTCTCTTTTCCCTTCCCCTTTTTCTGTTCTAGGTGAAATTGTGGTAAATGAAGTAAATTTTGTAAGAAAATGCATTGCAACAGATACAAGTCAGTATGACCTGTGGGGCAAATTGGTTTGCACTAACTTCAAGATTTCCTTTATTACGGATGACCCAATGCCACTCCAGGTTTGTTATTACTCACATCACTACACCATGACAACAAATGGGATAGGTAAAATGGATTTCATTAACATACAGTGAATCTATGTCATATCTTATAGAACTATGATGCCTTCTAAAACAAAGCAGGCTAAATGATGAGGTTCACTCTCCCATTCTCTGTGTGTTGTCGTTCCATCCCTTTATTGAGAATATCAGAACAGAGCAACCTTGGTGTGGAAGTACAGCCAGCTCTATTTACCTGTTATGGAGGCTTCAGTAGGAAGTGATTTTGCAGAAGGCAAAATAGGAATTTATATGAAACGTGTTCCTCCTTGAAAAAGATAATTGCAAATGTTTCTTTGACTAGACAAGCATCAGATCAGCTAAGTCTTTAATGTGTCCAAAGTTTTGTTGGCATGGAGGACAAAATAACCATGAAAGGAGTTTTCATTGTAGGTGGAGCAGCAAGAAAATGGGAGAAAGAAACCTAGCCTTTGTCAAAGCAGACATGTGACATTCCAGACCTGGATTAGTTTTTGAACAGCACAGCATGTTTAGAAATCTGAGTTGGGAGCTTCATGCTGTTTTCAGGGGAGTTTTCACTTCATTTGGGGCTTTTAAAAGAAACACTCCATACTAGGTGTGAGTAGAACTCTGAAAGTAGATAGATGTTTATTTAATAATGGTTAATAAGTTTGATCAAAGCTACTTTAAAATAATTATTTTTTACATGAACTAGTTGTCAAAACTTATTTCTGAAATCTGAATTAATTTATTTCCTTTCTATGGTTACAGAAATAGTTGGATATCTTTTATATATCTATGTATTACACTTCAGATTGTATTGAATTTCTACCAGTAATTTTTGAGGCCAGTAAATTCAATGCAAGTAGTGGAGTTTTTGTGTATACTCCACTGGGGTTTCTAAACTATTTGGTGAGCATTCACCAGTACAAGAGAGCTGTTTCCACAACCTCTATGTGAGGTGATTAAAGTGATGTTGCCTGTGAATAGGCAAAGGTGGTACATGTCAGAAAAAGTCTAGACCTGCCTGATTTTTATCATAGTTTCTTCCAAGTTGTCCTGTATATCTGGCTGTGAACTGCAGAACTGCAATTAATTGCTGTGAGTTCATGTGTTTCAGAAATTCCATTACAAAAACCTTCTCCTTGGTGAACATGATGTCCCTCTAACATGCATTGAGCAGATTGTCACAGGTATGTCAGAAAAAAGTTAACTTTGTTGACAGGCTTTAAACTTAGTCAGTTGAAAACTGTCAAGTACTTGTTAGGTTGTGCAGAATTGTTGATGCTTAAGGTTTTATGTCATTAATCTTCCTGGTTTGAAGAACTTTGTTTATTTAAAATTAGGATGAAAGCCTTAAAAGCTGAATAGAACTTGAGGTGCCATGCAGGAGATAAATTCATTTGGGTCTTTATATTTGTTTTAAATTTAACTGTAATGCTGAAGTAACAGGTGTTCTAGGATAGACACCTATTAGAGGAGTACAGCATTTTGTTAGCAACTTTTTAATATTCAAGCACCTGAATCTCTTCCATTTAAATACACTAGGTCACAAAAAGCACATCAGTTATACATTTTACACATAGCTGAGATATCCCATGACATAAATGCTTGAGTTTTCAATCATGTCTTATTTTCTGCAAGTTATTAGATAGTCGTCCTCAAATAATCTACACATGGCAATAGACATCTTAATCTGGAGAAATAACTTAGAAAATATCTACTTTGAAGAATCTGGTTTGGTGCATACTTTAGGTTAATCTGTTTGTTAAGAATGTTTTTCATCTTTCAATTGAAGAATTTCATGTGACAACTTTTCAAATCTTGAATATGACATGGGCTGGTTGAATGCTTGTTTTCCTGACTGTAGGTAATTTAAATTATTACTTAAAGTTTTGAGTGATCCATTTCCACTCTGAAAGTTTCTTTTACTCACTGTGAAAAGATTAGTGTGTATCTGAGGAAGCACATTTTGAAGAAAAGCCTTTTTTTAATGAAGAGTTGTGTTCAACCTTCTGTGTGGTCCACATTTGTTGCCCCTTCTAAAAAATACCAGGTAGAACTGACAAAACAGTAGCAGCGCTGCAAATCTGTTGATGACGGAGAGATGCTTAGAAATGGTCTGTTCTTAAATAAGAAGGTTGCATCTCATTCAGACTCTCATCTAATAAATTCTGCTAAATAGAATAGGAAAGCCAGCCAGCCTCATATCATTGTTCTATTAATTATGTTTTCTCTCACATGGAATGTGTTGCTTCTAAATGGGAGAGGACTACAGATAGCTTTTATTTTGAAATTTGAAGGGTCACAGATTCAGATTACTCTCTTGTGTAAGTTTACCCAACTGTCATATAGTATAAACATTTGCAGTTTCAGTGGAAGAATGGTAGAGGTTCTCTAGGAACCCTTTCTGTTGAGCTTTTCCATCAAGTTTGAAAGCTCTTTAGAGGGAGAGGGCAGTATTTCCTGACACACTTCAGGAGATTATTCTTCATTCTTCTACTATGCAGCTTTATCCTAAGTTTAGTGAAGCGTTAGCTTTTATTATCAGGAGTTAAAGGGAGATTTTCACCTGCACTGCAGAAGAGGTTGCTTGCTGGTTGTTATATTGAAAGTGAATAGCTGGAGGTGCCCTAAAACCACTTGTTTTTTGTTCCTTGGAAGTATTCAGTTGAACCCAGAAGATACCTGCAACCAGACAGGCAGCTATGTCAGTTAATCATTCAACAGCCATGTGCCTCAGTTTTCCCAGTTACCACAAACAAAATCTCTGTGGCTTCTGTGAAGCTGACTTTTTACAACTTCACTTTCTCTGTTTGAAAAGGAGATACAAAGGCCAAGAGACACAGCCTGTTTGTGCAGCTACAGGCCAGCTGGCAATTTAATATACTTAGATTATTGGGTTTTGTGTAAGAAGTAAGGAGTTAGTCTTAACTCCTCATATTTTTATTATATCCAAGTTAAAAAAATATTAAAAATAATTACATATGCTAATTACTGTGCATCAGGAGGGTATTGCAACATAAACAATTACCTGTCTGGGACCAAACATTGCTCTTGGGAATACTGCATAGTAATTCCTTGTTTGTGAAGTTGTTGGTAGACAACTTCTGGGTAGGAAGCAGTAATTCAGCCACTTGTTTGAAAGGAGATTGATCAACTGGAGAAGCTTTAGATTTTCTACCTCAGTCGAACAGTTGAAATGTACTATGAAATTAAAAACTGCTGGCAGCAGCATTACTACATCTGTCTGATCTATGTCTTGTGTTGTATAGTTACAAACACAGTCTGGTAACTTTGTCTTTTCTTTACAGTGAATGACACCAAGAGGAAGCAGAAGGTCCTTGGTCCCAACCAAAAACTTAAGTTTAATCCAACAGAATTAATCATCTATTGCAAAGATTTCCGTATTGTCAGATTTCGTTTTGATGAAGCTGGTCCTGAAAGTGCAAAGAAGGTATTTTATCTTCATATGAAACCTTGCCTTGTTGTCATCACATGTAGCAGCAGCTGTGCTGATAAGAACATTTTGGTTTATATATTGATAAGAGAAGTAGAGGGGGAGAACTGCAAATTAATCACATTCTCTTACAGGAGAATATCTAGGCTTTTAGAGTAAAATTTATTAGATAAAAAATTTAATGTGCTGTATTAACTGTTTCTTTTCATAGAAGATAGACCTGCATTTCTTGTTGTATTGATTCTACTTTTAAAAATTACTAATGCATTAAACCAATTTTGTGAAGACTGCAGCTGGAACACTGCATTGCAGCTGTACAACAGTTGTTTACACTTTTATGGAGGAGGTTTGAAACTTTGTATTTTCCAAAAGTTATTACTTTAATTTACCCCTTGGTAAATGTACTATCTTGCTATATACACTTCTTGCTTCACACAGCAAGTTCTCCAACAAGCTCTTGCAATGACCAGCTGGTCTAATCTATATAAAACTATGTGCCCTTTCTCAACCTTTTCTTAGGAAAGACTTGCATACCTCTTGACAAGAAGAATTACGGTGTCTTTGCATTCCTGGAAATTTCATTCCTTCCCCAGTTCTAACGCTTGTTGTCATAAGTCTTAACAAAATCATCCACTGTTATTTAACCTGGTGAGGTCCAGAAAAGTTCCTGCTG